CCTAGACAGATCATCGAGTCTGACCCCCTGCCAGGGGCAGGGGCTGGGGCTGGGGTAGGGGCAGGTGCTGCCCAGCCAGGACAGGGCACAGGATGGAGCCAGGGCTCATCCAGAGAATGTGGGGATGGGGAGGCAGCTCCCACCGCTGTGCGTACCCTGGGAGGGCATGGGGGGCATGCGCCCTCGGATCTCTGCACAGGGCAGGGTAGGCTGCTGCTGCGGGCTATGGTTATGCTGGGGTCTTCCCGGTGGGGGGCTTGGCCGGGCAGCATGCAGGGAGAGCAGCAGTGACACTGGGAGCGGGGGTTGGGGGGCCTGCAGCCACCCCAAAATTTGCCATAGCCCCTGCTCTCAGCGCTGCCTCCCTGAGCACAGCCCCAGACCAGCCCCCCACCAGGAAGAGCCCAGTGTAGCCCCAGCCTGCAGTGGGAGCCCGCCCTGCCCCATGCACAGATCCAGGGGCACACAGCCCCTGTGACCTCTCAGGGTGCATGCAGTGGTGGGAACCACCCCCCCACCCCATGCCCCATGGACGAGCTGTGACTCCTTCCTGTGCCCTGCCCCACTCTGGCAGGGCAGCACCTGCCCCTACCCTTGCCCCTGCCTCAGCCCAGCCCCACTCCCTCCCTCACCGCAGGGGCCTTAATTTGCCCCCCACCCCTTTCCTCCCCCTACCCCTTCCCCCACAACAGACTTCCCAGCCGCATGCCACTCTCCATGCTCTGGGGCTGCACGGAAATCAGATCGGTATTAGCTGATATGGCTAGTTAAAAATCGGCCATCGGTATCGGCCCAAAAAATCTCTATCGGTGCACCCCTAGTTTTGGGGGGGAATTTATATTAGAGCCAATAGTGGTGGAATCTGTTGCAGCTCATGAATGAACCAGGCTTAGAATTTTCTGAGGAAGATCAAGAGGATTAGATGACATGGGGCTATCCCACTTAGAGATATGCTTCTTGAATGTCTTCAGGACATTCTGGGTCTGCTTGCTTTACAGACATAAGTATGTTTTTGCTAGTTAGCACTGCAGAGCTAATCCAGCTATGGATGACTGGGCTGGGTTCTTTTTTGTGTGTGTGTATCAACCACTAACTTGTCAGCTAAATTCTGTTTGCAGAATCTTTATTAAGGGTGGTTGTGCATGAGCCAGAAAGGACACAGCTTGACTTTCAGCTCCCAAGTTGAGTTTAAAGAGCTGGCTGGTTGAAAAATCACCTTGAAAATGGAGTAAATTTGATCTGGAAGCCACTGAAGAGAATAAATAAGGAACCCAGTGATGTCATTTTTTTCAAAGTCACTTTTCTGACTACAACAGCACTTTAACTTTTTGAATGAAGATTTTCTGTTTGAATTTATTTTTCCCTACATTTTTTAAATAATAGTAGAACAGAAAAATAAAGCTAAAATTGAAAGGCAAGAGTAATTGTCAATCTGTTGTCTGAAGGCATTGTTCACTATGACACAAAGCACAGCTGCAGAGAATGAAAGCCAATGAAGTTTATTTATAGGGTTTTTGAGCTGAATAGATATAG